TCAAACAAGTTAGAATATTTTCAGCTGTTACCAGAACACTGTTGGAAATTACAAAAATTGTCTTCAATTATCCCAGTGAATTTTTTCTTCCAATTAGGCATACACCTACCTAAGGCTCATACCAGCCTGGAGACAAGCCACCTGTCTGAATAATATTAGTATGCAGAAGTAGTACACATCATAATAACTTGATATCACTCTAAACACTGGAGGCCTCTTTTCCCAGAGTTTGCCATGCAGAACATCTAATTCTACGCATGAGGGGCCAAGAAAAGTGAAAGCAGAAAGGAAGTAATTGACATGTAATGGTCACAAGGAAGAACCATGAAAACAGAGCAAAGGGAGTTGGGTATAAACAGTGTCCAGCACAGTTTCAGATCTGCACAGCTTTCCCCATGCATTCATTTTCAGACTTCAACTTCTTCCCTTTAATCCTCACCCCCAGCCTGCTCTCCCTGGCTGAATGTTCCCTGGCCTCACTGTTGCCCTGACCAAGTGTTCTATAAGCATAGTCCATTAGAGAAAATTCTTGAAATATGTCCATGCATTCCCTTGAGTATATGACTAAAGTTTCATGCTTTCATGGTGATGATCTCAGTTATATTCCTGGAAAGAACTCATCTAGTAAAACGCATCACCTCACTCCAAGGTGAGTTTCTTCCCCCTAAATAAACATGGAAACTGAGTAAAATGTGTTTTGCTGTAAAAAATATGTTTGCTGTAAAGTGTGGCTTCCAGCCAGTCTGCTGTCCCTCAGCTTCTTCTGCATAGAAATTCTGGAACAGCTGTACTCATGCACAATGGTGCACACATGCTGAAGAAACATAGTTCCCACCGTCCTTCACAGAAGACTCTGGAGGCTGGAAAAGGAAAACAGCAGTTGCATGACATTTCCTTTGAGAAGCTGATAAACTTTAAGTTTCCCTTTTCCCCACAAATATAAACTCAAAATTTTGCAAATAATTTCAGGAGGCTCATGGACCTCTGAAACACATTATATAATCCTGGGGTCTCATAGATGCCAAGATAAGCCTCCCTGTGCTAATGGGAACCAAAGCAGGAGTGAGCACCAGGATTTTTATATGCCCACACTTGGATGGGCCATGTATAAAAATGAGGAATAAATAGTTGTTTTTCGTTCTTTCTCCCGTTCTCCATTATCTCCCTTTTCTCTCTCACCTAAAGAATAAATTCTATATCCTATTCTTGATTTTTACCTTGATTAACTAGTCACCGTTGAGGCATAAGTATTGCCCTTCCAGACAAAATAGTCAGTTCTGCTGTAATGTGACATACATGTTTCTAAAAATCACTGTATTATACAAAATGGCACCACTAACCACAGGCTTATGGGAAAAATGAGTTTAGAAGGTACAATAACTTCATCAGTGACACTAAAAAGGAAGATAACCTAACAAAAAAGATAACAGTTTTAGACATGTTAAATGGTTAATAAATACTACAATACAATAAACATGTCACATTTCCTAGAAAAAGATCTGACATTTGCTCATGGAGTTGGGTGTTGGAAGGGCTATAATTTTTGAGTTATTGAGAAGTGGCAAAGGAGGATTTTCTGGTATGGAAAATTGTGACACCAGGTGTGGATGGGTGTGGTTCCATACACACGCAGTGAAGTGAGGTAGCTGGTGGATGTTTGAGGTGTGTGTGCATTTTGTGCATTCCCAGTTCACCTGGATGCAGTTTTCTGCATTCATCTAGCATTTCTTACAGATGAAATAGCACATATGTGAACACAAAATTCTCATTATACTCAAATTGTTCTCTGTTATATAAATCTAATTGGAATAGATGTTTATTTTCAAAACAAATCTTAGCAGGACTGAATGTATCTAGATTATAAAAATGGTTATAATTGAAATAGTAAAAAGCTATGAAGACCCCAGTGAAATGATGCATCCATGACAGCAATAAGGTTAATATTTCTCAGCAGAGAACAATCTACTTAGCCTGTATGACTCAAATAACTCTGGGCCGCCTTGCTCCCATCCTAAGGTTCATCCTGACAGTGATAAATTCAAATGAAATGCAAATTGGGCTCCATAACTTTGAAATATATCATCAATCCCGAGTGAAGCCTTTTCCAGGCTAGGAAGAAGTTGTTACAACACACATCAGACTTTCTAGAAAGTCCTCATGATACATTATATATTTTTGTTTCTAGAGTCCCATACCATGTGGGAGCTACTTCACTCTCTTCTTCGCACTTCCTTTTCCCCTTTACCTGTACCCCTCAAAAGCCCAATAAAATTTCAGCCTTTACTGGTTCTCTCCTTATCACTTCATCCTCTCTTTCCCACTTTTTCCGCCTTTTTTCCAAGAGTAAAAATTCCATACCCAGGTATGTTAATTTCCTATTGCTTCTGTAACAAATTACCACAAACTCAGTGATTTAAAAACAACATAAAATTATTATCATGTAGTTCTAAAGGTCAGAAGTCCAAAATGAGCTTTATGGGGCTAAAATCAAGGTGGTTGTAGGACTGTCTTCTTTCTGGAGGCTCTAGGGGAGAAGCTGTTCCTTGCCTTTCCCAGCTTCTAGAGGCTTCCTGTATTCCTCGGCTACTGGCCCCACATTGCTCCAGCCTCTGCTTCTGTCATCACATCTCCTTCTTTGACTTTGACCCTCCTGACTTCCTTGTATAAGGACTCCTGTGATTATATTATACCCACCTGGATAATCGAAGATAATCTCCCAGCTCAAGATCTTTAATTTAATTGCATCTGCAAAGTCCCTTTTGTCACAAAAGGTAACATATTTACAGGTTCCAGGGATTAGGACACAGACATCTTGGGGGGGCGGGGGGTCATTATTCAGTCTACCAGACCAGAGGGGTAGTATTCAAAATGCTTAATGTCACTTAAGACAGGAAATCTGACTCTGAGAAGCGTCTTAGGTCATAATGCTGGAGTAGGACCCTGGAGACCCCTGATGGATTATAGAGACGGCTGGGAGGTCTTAGGGAGGGATTTGGGTGTCTAGTTGGTGGTGAAATACTCCACGGCCAGGAGTAGTAGTTTTCTCTAAGCAGTATGAAAGACTTTCAACTTTTTTACAACCAGTACAACCACACCCATGTATTTTGGCTGAGCGCCCAACTGCCCATGCTTTTCCTTCTGTGGATCACTTTAGTCTCTCTAGACTTCATAAATTCTCTCTATTCACCCATGATCAGCAAGCCAACCTCCTGGGATTTTATCATGTGTTGTACTTAGCCCTTTTACTTGGAATGTCTCATTTAAGCTTCATCATAACCCTATGAATAGATTCTATACTTATCTTCCTTTTGCAATAATATACTCAGGGTCATATGTGCTATTAAGTGTTAGGGCCTGGGTTTGAACTCAAGCATTCTGCTTCATACATTGAGTTCTTAACCACTGCAGTTAGTGTCTTGAAGCAGACATGCATCTGTTTAGGTGGATAAGGAAAGCATGTACAAAGACCATGCAGGCAATGGTGAGGTACCAAGTGGCAACTCTTACTCCATATGCATCCATATGTTTACACAGAACCCTCCCCTATAGAATTCAATGATTCCAGGGAGGACTTCTTGATCACATTGTAAGAATTCTTATCTACTGTGTAAGGCCAAACTTGTATACTCTTGAATAGATATTCTATGATAAAAAAGATTACAGTCAACCTTCAGAGTAAATCAAGTCCAAATTCCGATTTAGCTTGGCTATATAACATTCTGAAGTATGGCTGTGAGTATGTAATGAAACAGATTGATAAATAAATAAATAAAATCTACAGTCAAGAATTTTATTTGTAAGACCCAACTGTGGTACTTTTTCTAGCTAGAATATTATGTTCAATTTCCTTAAATAAAGAGTAGCCTCTACCTGGTCATACATGCAAATAAAAATGTGTTGCTCACACCCAGAGGAAGTAATATTTAACAGAAATAAGTAACACTCCTCTAAGAGAAGAAGAGTCTTCTATGAATATTTTTGATTTTGCTGGTTTTTTTGACTGGTAAGGGGATTGCAACCCTCAACACAATGTCGTCTGCACCACGCTCAGCCAGTGAGCGCACCGGCGATCCCTATATAGGATCCAAACCTGTGGCCTCGGCGCTACCAGCACCACACTCTCCTGAGTGAGCCACGGGGTCGGCCCTGATTCTGCTGTTTTAAAATGTATTTTGGTTTGGATGGAAACGAGTATTAGCACTTTTCATTCATATAATTTGTGCATTATATAAAAGAGATAGACATTAGAGTTTTGTTTTAGTGATGGTAAAGTGAGATCTTGATGGGGGATGAATTTTCTACAGAGTCCCTTAGAATCATTTATGATATTTATAAATCAAATTGTTAAATAAAATGTCAGAAGTCAACAATAATGTCACTAAAGATGTTTTGGTGAAGAGTTGGAAGCAAATTTTATTTTAAACTCTTTTAACCTGATAAGAACCTAAAACATTCTTGCTAATTTGGAAAATACCCCCTTTATTTAAAATATTCTGAAAGGTAGCCTCTCCTTCTATCTTTGTGATGGAATACTGGGTGATTTCAGTCAAAAGACACAATTATTACCATAAGAAAAAGTCCTGCAAGAAAGTGCATGTTGCCACTTTACTCATTACTAAAGTGCCCTTATGACTGTCAGAGAGAACAGGTAAGATGCCATGGAGGCAGACAAAAGAGATCAAAGTGTTTTTGTTTACTTCTTTGAAATCTTGTAGTACCTACTGTTTACCCTACATACTTTTTGATTCATGCTGAAAGTTGGAATTCACCCATTTCTCTCTTTTTCCTGTCTAAGATGCAGATGGGGCACATTTCGTTGACTCCATCAATCCCTGCCCCCACGCATTAGCACATGCACACGTATACCTAGCCAGTGGAAAAGAAAAAAGAGTTACTCACATTCATCCATTTTACAAAGATTTCCAGGCTGCAATGGGAGGGCTTTACCTCTCCCTGAAGGATGAATAAATAGGTAGCTTCACTGACAACCTGTTCACAAACTGAAGTGAAAAGGAGACCAAGGTCTTGCTCTACTGATGGTACTTATAAGATCCAGTCCTGGCAGCATGGAGAGGATGGTCATCTGTCTAATGGTCACCTTCTTGGGGACACTGGCCCATAAATCAAGCTCCCAAGGGCAAGATCGTCTCATGATTAGAATGCGCCAACTTATAGATGTTGTTGATCAGCTGAAAAATTATGTGAATAACTTGGTAAGGCCATACTTGTCACAACAAAATTTAAGTAATAGTTTTCAGTTAATGCAAAAGGAGGCTTTTGACTTATAAAAATAACTCAGAACTGATTTTCTTTTGCTCTAGGACCCTGAATTTCTGCCAGCTCCACATGATGTAAAGGTAAGACCAGTTGAATTTATTTCTGAAAATATATTTGATTTAAGTTTTTAAATCCAATAAGAAAGGCATTAGGCATGACTATTTAGGAATTCAATTTCAATGAATTTGGGCTTTAATAATTGGTAAAATATTTATTTCTATTTTAGTCAAATATTCATTGATTTACCAACAAATCAACCAATAAAATGCTATACTACATTCCTTACAAAATATATGTTTATCTTCAAGAATCTCTAAGAGTACTCCGAAGTAGTACTGTTGAGACAGAATAACAAAACTAGAAAAGAAATCTACACTGTGATCACTTTCTGAATGATTAACAGCAAATTACATATTAAAAGACCTTGGGCACGAAAGCTCTTCAGCTCTCTTTGTCATTCTATTTAAGAAATATAGATACATACCATAAGAAGCAAAATTCATCTTTTAATAACAAACTGAAAAAAAAGAAAGAAGAAAGAAAAAATTAGATTACAGGGATAGCACAGAGGAATGGTGGTGTGGAAATCAAAGCCCTTTAGAATATAATTCACATATACCTTGGCCTCAGTGAGTCTTGTCTTTGGCTTTCGATGAGGTCTTTCGAAAGGACCATTTCAACAACTCATTCCATCTCTTAAGCCATTGAAACCTAATATAATTCACATATACCTTGGCCTCAGTGAGTCTTGTCTTTGGCTTTCGATGAGGTCTTTTGAAAGGACCATTTCAACAACTCATTCCATCTCTTAAGCCATTGAAACCCGTTACAGTCCCAGGAAGAAGAGGCCTAGCATATAGTTAAAGAGTGCTGTCTGCTGATCTTCCCCAGTAACTTCGTCAATCTGGTTTTTGGTTTGGTACCCTGAGAGTATAAATGCAACTGGGGAAATGTTTTCTTGGTCACAGACCTTTAACTGCATAAATTAGAATAACTTTAAAGTGCTACCAGTAATTAGGACATTACAAAGGGGGAGAATTATGAGGATATATTGCAAAGAAAACAATTATCGTAAATGACTATGTGTAAAAGTTTAGAAAGTGAATGAGTCACAACTATTGCTTTTCTCTAATATTCACTCTCTATGTCTGAACCTAACCACTCTCATTTACTATGTTCTTTTCTAATAAGCAGCATTTAAAATGAAAGTATCACATTCAGCTTATTGGAAAGACTTTTCCAATAAGCTAGAGCATTTCTAAATCAATGTGCCTAATTATCAAAACATACATTTTTCAGCATCTTACACACCTTGTTTTACTGCTGCGGTTAGAGTCCTTTCCAGAGTTTCTTAGCTGCAGTCTATAACTTGCAAAATAATAAAGATATACCATTTTCTAACTTGAGTTAATCCAATGGGTGCTTCCTTTATATGCTTTGCTAATGACAGATATTTATTATCTTACATCATAATAAGAGGATTTTGTCTCAGCGATACTGCATCTATCTGATCAAGCAGTGCTGACTATGATACAAGTGACCAATGTCCTAACTAAGATCTTTATGAAGCACTGGCAGGCAAACTGAGGAAGAAAATTGTTCAATGCTATATTAACATTATATAAGTTTTTCAGGGCTATCATCAAAGCAGGGTCTGTAAGAGATTTAAAAAGATTAAAAAGCTTAATGAAAATAAAACCATTTAAATGTTGCATTTACATAGTGATTATCTAAGATCTCTAATAGGCCTCAGCAGGCATCTCTTCCTCTCTTTCTTTCCAATCATATAACCAGTGGTTCTCAACTGGTAGTGATTTTGCCCCCCAGTGAATATTTAGCATTGCTGAAGAAATTTTGGGCTGTCACAGTTGGGGGTGGGGTGGGGGTGATACTAGCCCCTAGTAGGAAAAGGTCAGGGATGCTACTAAACATTTTAGAATATACAACACGACCCTGACAATAAAGAATTGTCCAGCCCCAAATGTCAATAGTGCTACACTATTGAGAACCTTGATATAAACTTAGTTTGAGTGTGGGACAGAGGTAATCTTGCCCAGTTAGCAAGGCTGCCCAGTGAGAATGGCCAAGGCTTTCTTTGTAGAATAAAAAATGTTAAGTAGGTTAAAAATAGGCTTTAAGGAGGCAAATATTTTCAAATATTCCATTGCAAAACAACAAAGCCAAATGTGCCTCCTTGCAAAAATGGCACTTTATTTGTTCTCTGGCTAAAGAGAAGAATATTTTGTTACTTTTGCTTTTGACTTCCTTACTGCTCCCTCTAGTTTGTGAAACTAATGTAGGAACAGGAAATTCCTCATGTTCTCATGTGTTAAAGGAGGAGGGAAACAAACCCTTGCCCTTGGAGTCTGCTCTCACCAAGGCACGGCGAAGGAAAGCAATGGTTATCCTTCCAGGTGGTGCTAAACATGGACTTGGGCCATCCCGTAAGCTCCTGAGTGACAGGTCACCTGAGGCTGACTGAATCGAGGTTAATCTTTCCACTCCCCCTCTTAATACATCCTTATAGCTGTCAGCAGGGATAGCTCCTCCACTTCACCTCTTTGAGGCTACCTTGGATGTGCATCTAAAGCCCAATTCAGCAATCATTTGTCCTGAGCCACACATTGCCAGGGACAGCTCTGCTGCTTGCAGAACAAAGCAAAACAAACCACCATTGTCTGTTAACACAGGTGAACAAGGAAGAAAGGGAGAGATAGCACAGCCCCATCAATATGGACATCAGTGTCCAGATGCCATCAGAGGCTTTCAGAAAAGCTTTTTCAGGTGTAAAAGCTTTGATCACTGGTTTTGACCATTCCTGGCAATATGGTCTCAAGGGAATTTGTTTGGTAGGGCCCCTCAACTTCTTTGGAACCTAATTTTCTTTCAACATATACATGTAAATGTTAACTCAGCAAAATGGGCCTCTGTGAGAAATGCTGGTTTCTCAGATCATTACGGGTGAAGCAGTTAGTGTTTTCAGTTTCAGCTGGAAAATTTACCTCTTTAAATATGAATATTATTTTTTTCCAGTAAGTTAAGCCGGTTGTGGTCAAAAAGAAGAGAAAAGAAAAAACTTCAATAAACATGAACATGTGGTTTTCAAGGAAAAAAAAGTGCTATAACATTTATAAATAGTTTCTATTAAATAAGCATTTTGGCAAACATATGGAAAGGACACCACCTTGCCCTTATGAGAGGCAAACTGCCCTGCTATAAGGAAACCAGATAAGCTTATTCTCGTCTGTGGCTGTGTATGCAAAGCAAACCTGATGGGTTTGTGTCATAAAGACGCATGTTATTAACCAACATTCATACTGGATAAGCATATGAGTTGGAAAATGCAAAGCAGGCCAGATGCTATTTTCAGCTGATTGTCCATGAGAACATTCAGGTAATATTATTATATATAAGACTACCCTTTTAAGGACTGAGAAGGATTGAGGTTTTTGATTATAAGGTAGTGGCTTTCATACACAGTACTGAGGTAAAGATATAGCAACTTCAGGGGAAAAATAGCATCATATACACACACTTGAAAAAAAGAAAAAAGTAACTTGGATATAAGTAACCTAGATACAAGCTCTTAGATCAGCATTAATATGTTTTCAACAAGTCAGTATACATTTTGCTCTTCAAATAAATTCCATTTTCTTTTCAGTTTGCTAAGATTTTGGCTTATTCACTAGTCACTAGTTATTTGGCCAAACCAAGAGACAGATTTTTGATCCTTGTTCTGTCCACTTGTCCATTTTCTGAGACAAACTCTTACCTTCTAAGAAATAGTCTTCCCTCCCATTGACTGGGCAAGTCTCAAATTCTCTTCCTTGACTGCTTGATTCAGGCAGAATTCTACCCTAACTGATCTGAGAGTATAAATAGGATTTTAGAAAAGTCATGCATGGTCTATGGCAAGCATATGGAATCTTAGATGAGGAATATGCCATCAGAAATAGGAACCCACTTCCTTTCCCCAAAGGAAAGGCTTTAATTCATTTACCTCATCTGATGATCCCACAAATATAAACTGAGCATTCACTTGCAACAAAACACTACGCTTGGCATTGTACAGAATAAAATGCTGCTCAAGTCATGTCACCGATAGATACTCCTATGTACATTACAGAGGGAAAGAGCAAACAAATGAAAAAGATTCTAAATCACACTATAGCATAACTTATCAAAAACTGCCGCTAGTCACAGTGTAACTTTTAGAGGCTCATAATTCAGCAAATGTGTTATTAAACCAAACTAAGTGTCCCTCACAAAACACAAAGATCCTGCCTATCACCCAGTCCTCAGAATGGCCCTCAGTATAGCCTCAGTATAAAATTAGGAATAAAAACTGTAAAAAGTGAGGCTCCCTTCTTACTGTGAGGCGGGGAAATGTCCCTTCTTCCTAAAGACAGGGGGAAATGCCTCAGTATAGCCTCAGTATAAAATTAGGAATAAAAACTGTAAAAAGTGAGGCTCCCTTCTTTCTGTGAGGCGGGGAAATGTCCCTTCTTCCTAAAGACAGGGGGAAATGTACATGCAGGTGCCTCCATCTCTTCAGCCCGAACATTTAAGTAGGAGGTGAAATCATACCTCACTCATCTGTTGAAATGAATGTGATCCAGTAGAGGGAAAAACATGATGGGAAGGTTGTTTTTTAGTTTCTGAATAACTTTTGTTAACATAAAAACAAATTATTTATCTTTCAGAGACACTGTGAGCGGTCAGCTTTTTCATGTTTTCAGAAGGTCCAACTAAAGTCAGTCAATACTGGAGACAATGAAATGATAATCAATGTATTAATAAAGCAGCTGAAGAGAAAACTACCTCCCACAAATGCAGGAAGACGACAGAAATACAAACTAGTAAGACTGTTATTTGTCATCTATCTTTTTTGTACTTATTAATTATGTCTATTACATTACACAAACACACATCCCTGTAGCCAGGGCCTCTTGTGCCTCCTCATAATTACACCTTAATTATATATAGCGAGTTTTGAGAAGTGGGGTCACCTCTTTTAAGTCCACAGACTTGAAAGTGCCCAGAAACTCAAACAGACCCTGGTAGCTGGAATACATTAATATAGCTTCCCAAGGTGAGGAAGTCATTAGGCAGAGAATCCAGTTGTGATTTAGGAAGAAAGAAATATTTTCTTCTCATGATATGGTCACATATAACTTATATTCTTATTAACAAGAGTTAAATCCTAGTTTTCTAACGAGAAAAGAGATACTTATAAGAGACCAAGATAAATCTCAAACTTTGCTTTCGCTTAAAAAATCTTGCTGTTCTGTACAATAGTAGAGTCAGTATTAATTGACTGACTGGGGAATTTCAATAGTCCCTACATGCCATTGGCTCGGGAATTTTAATAGTCCCTAGATTTGGGGGACCCTGAGACCCTCCCGTACATCTGTCCTTATGCCAACTCCTGGGCAATGCTGATATTCAAGAACATGAGTGATTCCAGCATTAATCAAAACCAGTGGAAAAACATAAAATTAATTACTCTCAAATTATTTTTTATCAGTTGTCCCACCTCCAAGAAATTCCACATGATTCAAATGAAATCTTAATTATATTACAAAATAATTCTTATTTCCTTTGATTGCTTGGCTAGATTACCATGTGAAAAATCTCTCTCTAAAACTTTCTTCAGAAAGAAAGGAGCTAAGTATGTCTTTGAAACCCAATATCAAAGACTCGTGGAATGATAATGTTGGCCATGAAATTAGAACTACCTGGGAGATAGATTTTCCTCATCCATCATTTTATAGATGAGGAAAGTGAGGCTTACCAAAGAGGTTAAGTGACCTGCCCCAAGATCCACAAATAGTGTCAGAACAATATCTAGAACTTAAATCTACTACTTTTCAGTCAAATGTTCTCACTACAACATCAAACCAGCATTGAGATGCTAAATACCAAGCAATGGTCTGGTGTTTAGTATTTCAACAGGAATAAGGATAAAGAATATAAACCAAGAAATTAAAAAACCGAAAAACACCAGAAATGTAAGCAGGCGGTATACACATAAAAAATTGTTCACTCTCTCTAGTAATGAAATGAATGCAAGTTAAAACAAGGAAATCTTATTTTTTTTCAATTAAAATTTTAACAATACTCAATAATGGTAAGAATGCTCTAAGGAACAAGAGGTAAAACCTTTTTACAATGTAAATAAAAACCTTAAAAATTTTTATCTGTTTAATTTAGTAATTCTACTTCTAGGAATTTATCAAATAAAATAAACAAAGATGTATATGAAAAATTATTCACAGAGATGTTCTTTGCAGTATTGTATACAAAAGAGAAAAGTTAGAAGCAACCTTTGTGTCCAAAAATAGTAACTGTTTCATCCTATGATGCAATACAAAGCAACCATTATTTATTATATTTTTGAGGAATATTTAACATCTAGGAAATGCTTGTGATATGTTGTTGTTAAAAAAAAAAAGCAAATTGCCAACCACTGTAAATAACATAAATGCAAAGTTAAAAAAAGGTGGGGGGGATATATGTCAAGGGATAGGATTACAAGTGATTTTTCCACTCTTACTTTATGTGCTTCCCAAATGTTTTCCAATAAACATAATTAGTCTTTTTTTTTTGTCTTTTTTCGTGTCCGGCAACGGATCGCAACCCTCAGTGTCGCGCCCGTACCAGACCGGGACCGGCAACGGGACCGCAACCCTCGGTGTTGCGCCCGCACCTCGCTCAGCCAGTGAGCGGGAACCGGTCTGTATGTGGGATCCGAACCCTCGGCGGGAGTGCTGCCACGCTCCCAAGTGGCGCACTGTAGCAGTGCGCCACCGGGCCAGCCCCCATAATTAATGTCTTTAATGGAAAGAATAAACTTTAAATTTTTATTAAATAGGAAAAAAGTTTTAAAGAAGAACGTTACTTTTTCATTGATTTCTAGACATGTCCTTCATGTGATTCTTATGAGAAAAAACCACCCAAAGAATTCCTAGAAAGACTGAAATCACTTCTCCAAAAGGTATCTACCTTAAATTACATTTGATTTTCTACTTCATCTTTATCTATCCAGATTGCTTCCTATGTTTAGGTTACTCATGCCATACTGTTTACACTATTTCCACAGATGATTCATCAGCACCTCTCCTAGAACACATGGGAAATGAAGATTCCTGAGGCTCTTACTTGAAGCTGGACACTATATTACATACTCTAATACAGTAGTGAAACTCACTTCTTGCTATTCCAAGTGGAGAAGTACAATATATCAGTGATGGGGGGTAAAACCAGATAAGTGTGCAAAGTCAAGATTATTTTCCCCAAATTACCATGCAATACTTCAGTTTCATCCACATGCTTTGTGTTTGGTCAACTTGGAAAAACTTTCTACTCAATCAGTGTCTGATTTCCTATGTTATGGATTTCTATGACTTCTGAAGTTTTTACTTGATCTTACTGCCCATCTGTGACCTTTCTTGGTTGGAGGAGAAGGTAAAAAATTTTAACAAAAAATATAGTTGGGAATTTATTGATCTTATATTAACCTTGATCTTGATTACCACAAGATTGAGGTCTATGATGATCATAACTTACTTTCATCCTAGCTGAAAATATAGAAGCATAGGATCAAAATGAAAAGTTAAAGTCTTTATTCTTTAAAAGAAATGAAAACTGAGCACTTAAAAAGTTGTATCCGAAGAGTTTACTTTTTATTTCAGAATGTCTAACATATACGTATGTAATTTACTCATGCAGCAGGAGGATAGCTTTACCAGATGGCTACAAAAGAAGTCTTACTTCTTTATTAGGGTTTACCAAAATATTTAAATACTATAGATATGACTGTATTCATGGAATACAATCTTAGTCTTTTTTTTTTAAAAGTGGTAATAGAGTATTAAGAAGTGGGTTTAATATTACCTTCCTCCAACCTCAAATTTCCTTATAAGCTAATATTTTAAGCTTGTGGACATGGCAATTAAAAGCTATAGAGGAACATTCATCAAGTAGTTTTCTGGAAAAACAGAGTTTTAAAAGTCTTGTAGCTCTCTTCTCAAATTTTTATAATAATTTCACTGAGTGACTTAAGTACCCCAAATGTGTCTCCTTCTTTCTTCCTTCCTTTCTTTTTTTATTTCTCCTTCTTAAAGTGAAACTTCTGGTATGAAAAAATTTCAAAACATATTTAGCATTTTAAACACACTGTGCTTGCATGCTTTGTATAAGACAAATTCAATCACCTGTATTAAATCAAAATCAAGAGACAAGTCAAGAAGCCAGGACTCCTGTCCCAACTGAAAACAGACTTTTGTGTAAACATTCCAATCTTTCGACCAAGCAACCTGTTCTGACTGCCATTTCATAACAACTCTAGCAGACTTTGTTTAAATATGAAGTTAAAAACTCTAGAAAAGCAGAATTTTTTCTAGAAAGGTATAAGCTATTTGAGAATCTCTTATTGTTAAAATGGCTGTGAGTTCAAAAGGATGTGGGATGGGAAAGGTTTTATGCTTTGAGAAGAAAAAAAAATGATCTACTTAAAAGCATTTTTAAAACAAATGCAGACTTAAAGTTCTAAAAGATATATTGAGAATCAATTATTTAATCAAATCTCAATGAAATGTTTTATCCTCAGAAACAAGGTACTCATAAAATTTTAAAATATGTTATTACAAAGGAGTCATGTAATTATGTGCCTAATGATGATAATATGCATCTGAAATCTGCCTAAGTGTCAAATGGTGCCAGCCCAGCTTATTGGGATAAAAGTTGAAAGCAGGCACCAGGATGACTTGGAAATGATGGAGTCTGTACTTCTTGTATCTGGCTGTATAGCTGTTGACTTTGATATCATGACTTTATATTTAAAATAATGTATTTATTTGGGTGTGTTTATTGTTAAAAATCTCTGTTCTAATCCTTTTGATCAGGGTCTCTACTTTAAAAGTGAAAATAATTTCATGGCGCGTTGGCTAAGAGCCTTCACTAACCAGAGTTTAAAAACTCAGGTAAAGATCCCAGCAGCACCCCAGGAAAAGCAATGCATCGGAATAAACAAGATGAAGAAGTGATACTTGAACAGCTCCATCTTCACTATTCTGTGTTCAAGATTTAGCCAGTTCTTAATAGTAATTTAAGGATAACCCATAAATATCACTGTTCACCTGTTGGTGGTGATTCAGGAGACCTGAAATAATGGTGGTTGTAAAATTGTGGTCACTTGCCTAAACCTTTTGGGTTTCCATTTCCTTATCTGTAGAACAAGGGTGCTGGACTTAATCCCTAGGGTCTGTTCTGCCCCCTTTAGAACTTTATATGTCTATGATTGTCTACAGTTCTGGGTACTCTTATGGGAACACCTGACCATACTTCTGAGTAAAACTTTCTACTGAGTCTGATGTTTGGTCACTCAACATTATCTCAATAGCATACGAAACAACACTCACTGTAGGAATAAGGGAAATGTTCCAAGGGAAAAAAAAAAAGAAGAAGGAAGGAAAGAAGGAAGGAAGGCAAAAAGGAAAGAAGGAAAAGAGGAAGAAAGATGGAGAAAAAGAAAAAAGAAGAAAGGAAGGAAGAAGAGAATAAAAACAGCTGTAGATCATGGGAGTTCAGGGAAAATTAACCATGATTTTTAATATTTTAGCTGAAAGTGCCTTCTTTGGACACTTATAAAATTGTAGCATTATTATTGCTCTGTTGTATTTACATTTGCATCTGAGAATTTAGTTTTAATATGAACTATGTACTTTATAACTTAATGATTATTTATTATATATTTGACTTTAAATGTTTATGTTCATGGCATCTTATTTAAGACCTGATCATATTAAATACTACCCAGTAAGTACAACTGCCTTTTGTGATTCCCTGGAAACTCTTAATTCAATAGTCCTTGTAGAATATAAAGAATGATCCTTACTTTCTGGAAGCATAGAGTGTTTACATGTGTATTGTAAAGATGATCTCTCCTCACCCACTTTCTCTGAAATGGAACTGTCCATTTCCTGTCCCTATCTCAAGGATATTACTTCCTTTGCAGGCCTCCCCAGTGTATGTCAGGTCCAGGAGTTAAAGACATCCTTCCCATTGCTCACTGCCACCATTACATGTACACTTTTGCAAAACTCCCTCTTGCATTCATATTTATCCTATATAGCTTTTCTGTCCTCTTTATTTTATTAATAATTGCAATCTCCTGGCCACTCCTCCATGTTCAGTGAGGACTTAGGTATGTTCTTTCCCTTGAATTCAACTTCTGCCATCATCCTGGGTGACTTCAGTACCCACAGGGAGGATTCCACCAACATTACAGCTTCCCCAAACCTTGACCTTCTCAGTTCTGAGCACCTGCATCTTTTTGCCCCTCCCACAGTCCATTGCCATGGTCATGCTCCAGACCTTATCACTGCAACTCCTCTCTCTCTAAAATCTTTACTTAGTAAAACCGCCACCTGCTAGTCTTTCAGCTCTCAAACTGCCCTACTTCTACTGCATCTTCCTTGAGATCCTGAAGCCAGGTCTTCACCTTTTCCCATTCTCTCAATTTATTGGTTGTCCTGCCTTGCTCACTGAGCCTGGGCCCCTGATCAGTCCCTTGAACAGCAGGGCAAGCAGCAAACACTGTCTCCCTTCTCTGCTCATTGTGCTTGTGTACCTGCCTACAAACTCCCTGCCTAGCTGTTTTATCCTTCGTCTCCTAATCCAGCTTCAGACATTGGCTCTGCCCCTCACCCTTGGGGACGCTTTCTAACTCCCCTATCTAGCTTACTAGAGTCACTTTCCCACTTTGCTCTCAGCTCTGAACATTCATCTGCTTTTAACATCTGCCTCAGCTTTAGATAAAAGGCCCCTCTGTCTACTACAGTCCCCAGGCATGGACTCATCTCATGTGAAGGAGAGGGATTTGGATATTTACAGTCAAGCTCACTGAAAGAATAGTCTGTACATGTATCTACACTCTTTCATGAGCCATCTGCTCATCAGCTATCCACCACTATAATCTGATTTCTACCCATTGGAATTTATCACTGCATTTTTAAAATTTCCCTGTCTCTGGTCAACAATGACCTCCTAATTACCCAACACACAAAATGTGTCTATCCTTATCTTAATCTTATCATGGCTTTTGTTACCCTTGACCACTCCCTCCCTTTTCCCAAAAGATTATAAGACTTTAAAATTTATTACTGGCACAACAATGTAAATGTAATTATGCTACTGAACTGTACACTTAAAAATAGTTAAGATGGCAAATTTTATGTGAAATTTTTTTTCTTTTGGCAACTGGCCGGTACAGGGATCCAAACTCTTAGACCTCGGTGTTACAACACTGTGCTCTAACCAACTGAGAAACCAGCCAGCCCTCCTCTTAGACTTTGGAGGCTCTTTTTCCTCTGGTTGTCTTACCTGTCTGACCATACATTCTGTGTCAGTTGTTGGTTCACTTTCCTGTGTCCTCTCCTTAGAAGATGATTTTCCTGAGGATTCTGTTCTTGGCCACCTTTTTCACTTTGAGCCTTCTCCCTTGATAGTCAAATGTGTTCCTGTTGTTTTAAATACCTCCTATATGTTGTTCACCACTAGATCTAAAACTAAAGGCTGGAATTCTCTATTAATTCTAAGGGCCATATATTCAACTTCTCCCTGGAGATTTTCATCTTTGTCTTCCAGGCTCTTCACCTCAATCTGCCAAAATTGATCTTATCACTTTCCCCCACTTCCTCAACCTTCTCTTTTTAAAGAATTCCCTAATCTTCACTGATGAACCACATCCTCCCAGACTGCCTTCTCCTTCCCTCACTATGACCAGTTGGTTACAGGGCCTTTTTATTTTTCTTTTAAATACATCCTTTATTTTCTACTCCTTTTTTTTTTTTTTCTCCTTCTTGAGACCGGCCGCACCGCACTCAGCCAGTGAGTGCTGTGAGCGCACTGGCCATCCCTATATAGGATCCGAACCCGCAGCGGGAGCGCTCCTGCGCTCCCAGCGCCACACTCTCCTGACTGTGCCACGGGCTCGGCCCTTTTCTACTCCTTCTGACAGCACCTTAATTCAGGCTCTCCGCTCTAGTTGCAATGGTTGCAATAATTTTCAATTGGGTTTCTAGCCTCTCACCTTCTACTCTCTTCAATCTACCTCCTCATGATCAACAAAGTGATATTTTATAAAACTTACATATGATCACAACTTTCCCCTATTTAGAACCTTTTACTGCCTCCCCCTTAGAACAAAACCCAGGCCGGAAGCAGGGCATG